CGGCAGAAACACAGTCGGCACGATAAATCGATATCGATATAGAGGAATAATAGAGGGTGGAAAAACGGTGAGTAATAAACGTGTGCTATGAAAATAGGCGGAATGCGTGTCCGCATAAATTGCGGATAGCAAAGCACGCGTGAAAGATAAAGCACGCCTGGACTATTCTCTCCTTTTTTCTCTCTCTTTCTCTCCTTTTTTTTTTCACAGTCATGCAGTCACACGTTTCAACGACAATCAATCCGTGCAAAGGAGAAGAGAAAAAAAAAAAGAATGGGCAAACGAGTTTGTGAAAAGAACGACGCGTGCTACGTCGTGCAGAGTATAGAACTAAAAGTATTGGAAGTAATCGTTGGAATGAAATAATATTCATATATATGTATAGAATGATTTGACCGATATTTTGAAACGTTGAAGAACATCGGTGGAATTACATAAAAATAATCCAACGGATTCACGAGACAATTGCATCTAATTTACAACAAACAATGGCTACAAATTTACGATCGACAATATATATTTTATCTGTTACATCGAATACCACGCATCATCGTTTACGCAACAGAGTATAATAATTCATTTCAGGAAATTAAAATTTCTTCCACATGACAATGCAACTTCTTCGTATCAAAAATACATCTATAAAGTTGTTTCAAGGTAAATCTTTGATCGGCCATCATCGTTCTAGATGTCATAAATCTCATGTCACCCGATCTCACATTCATCCAAATAAGAAGAACAAACAGGCTCGAAAAAAGAGAAGAAGAAAAGGAAAGGAAAGAAAACGAAAAAAAAAAAAAAAAAAAAAAAAAAAAAAAAAAAAAAAAAAACAAAAAACAAAGCGATGATCGACAGAGGCGTGAGAGAAAGCGTGGCGAGTACGTAACGTGTGTGCAAAGAGGACGAAAACGAAATGTGTACAGAAGCGATTCTCGATAAGTTCCACGAACGATCGGCTTTTATGCTGGGAAGCGCTTGGACACGGTAGTTGGACCGTGACCGAACCAAGAGCATAATTAATTATCCGATGTGATCTTTGGCGAGTTGGTGGCAAGGAACCAGCCACCGTTCAGATTGCGCTTGGCCAGATGGTAAACAGATCTGGATCGGAGGAGAAAATTTGAGATGAATTAAACTGAAATGTGTTTCCACAAATAAATATTATTCGAATATTTTTCGTCTAATTTCTACGATTTACGTGGAAATAATGTTTATTTATTGTTCGTACGTGGATTCGTGAAATGAAATATTTATTTTCCGTTTAATCGAAATGTATATACGTCGAAGGTTTGGAAAATAATTAAAAATTGTATTTTTATTGCAAAAAAGTATATTTAAAAAATATTACGAATTATTGTAAAATAACTTTTAAAAAATTTGTTGCAGATTTTCTTTGGCATTTTATTTAATAATTTCTCTAGATCTTCCGGAATTTGCACATCTTACAAAGAAGTTAGAAACTACTTACCGAAGAATACTTTCTAAGTACTCTGTAACTTGATAATGCAAACGCATAAATTTGTGTACTATGTAAACGGAAATTTCACAGTAACAACTCGAGCTAAAACTAAACATTGTATGAAATCCAATCAGGTATACATATATTTATGTACATATAACGAAATTATTAATTATTTATTTAAATATTCTTTTTTCCAAAATTTTTTTAAAGATATGTATTTTTTTTATAAACCGATATACATCATCAAATATATTATATTAATTATCTTTCTGATGTACATTAAAGCAGGTTTTCACAAGGATTTCGAAAAATAAATCAAAACAATTCCACTCTAATAAAAAAGACAAGAAGAGAAAAGAAAACGGCGATTTATCTATCGTTGATCTGAAAGCAATCGAAAATACAATAATCCATACGAACAGTACATAACGAATAGTCGTATCGAGCTATTACGCAATAAAGGACAATGTTGGCATAGGTTTTGACCGCAGGCGAGTCTTTTAATCATATTCAATCGTATAATAATTAATATTCATTCTTGCGCGTTAATATTCAATCTTGCACAATCAGGAATCGACGAGCGATTTTCAGACAGCCGGTGTCCCGTTAAGAAATTGCATTTGTATGCTATCGAACGATCCGATCTCTTGGAGAGCTTGCTTGTGGCACGATAAATAATGTTATATGTGTACCCCCTTTTTTTTTCTTCTCTTTTCCTCCATTTCTTCTCTTCGTAACAGTAAATTCGTTTCTTTATCTTTTCCTTTCTGTCTTTTCTGTCAAGTTGGAGAAAATAGATTCTTGAAATTGATATTTAAAGGGAAAGTTTTCTTCACTTTTTTAACCAATATGTAGGATATATTGCATTCTTATTTCATATCCAAAAAGTGGGATAAACGTAGAACATCCCTCAAGTTTGATAAAATGATTAATTCAATGAAAACCTAATCTAAATTCAAAAAAGAAAATTATACAATATGAAATACTTCTGAAGTGAAAATATATATGTAATCTAACCTGATTTAATTTAATCTAAAACATATTCAAAAAGAAAAAAGTACATAATATGAAACACTTATAGTCTAATAATAAAGTGAAATTATATATATAAGTAAACTGAAACACATTCAAAAAAGAAAAAGTATATAATATGAAACATCTATGAAGTCTGACAATAAAGTGAAAATATGTATGATGTATGTAATCTAACCTGATTCAACTTAACTTGAAACAGATTCAAAAAAGGAAAAGTACATAATATGAAACACTTATAAAGTGAAATTAGTACATATATGTAAGTACTTCATTGCTAAATGTCACTATGGCCCATATCTTGAAAACAGGTACTTTCTATCTTCAATTTGTGTACGGATATATTCCATATTTTCCAATACACGTTTCATCTATTTCAATCTATTTCAAAATCTTTCCAGATCGATTTCTCGAACGTTATTATGCGATATCCAATTGTAATCCTCGACAAGAGCAAAAGCTTCTTGATGGCGCGAGAATTCTTATCGCGATCGTCATTAGCCTGATTCGAGACCTCCCACTGGCTGGCAGCTTTCTACGGGTAAACGTTATTTATTGGAGGATTAATAAGCGGCTGGCTAACCGGTGATTAGAGGCCGCCTTCTCGAGACTTTCATTATCGTAAAACGTGTCGATTGTGATTGTGCCCCCGACACCGACGAAAAAACTATCTTTACCATAGCCGTTTCTTTCTTCCATTGCTGGGATGAGCATCAACAATGATGTGGATTGATTATAAATGGAAGATTTTACATTTTTAATTTTTAATGTTACGAAGACGTAATTGGAATTTAGATAAGTGAACGTGGAACTTGAACGCCAATACGTAAAGTTGGAGTTCCAGTTCTGTAATATTTTATTTGAATCCTTCCTTTCTCTCGCGATGAAGATTATTTACAATAATGTGGATTGATCATGAATGGAAGTTTGAAAATTTTTTTACATTTTTAACGAAGACGTAATTGGAGTTTATATAATCATATAATCATATCTATTATGTAAAGTTTCGTACGTATAAAATAGAATTCCATTACATTCACAAGTATTCTTCATTCCATAAATGTCTCTTTCTTTTTAGTCGGTGATTAAGATGAAGATTAACGATGATGGAAATTTAAAGATTTATATTTAACTCTCGAGGATCAAAAAGTGATATTCATAAATACTAACCAGGTTTAATTGAACAAGGATTAATTATATTATAATTGTATAATTGAAAATGAAGTCAAAATTCGCATTTATATTAAAATTCACATTTTCCAACAGACTTGCAGACTTCAGACCCTTCTACTCTTCCACCATTCTTCAGAGCTCGAGTACAAAAGGCAATTTACTGTATGCTTCCCTGCATAAACTACGAACTACAAATAAACAAACGTCCAATTTCAAAGAAATTTTATCTCGTACACGAGTTAACCGATAACCATAACGATCGGTGGATGCGGATATTTCGTGAGATCCACTTCTCCATAAAAAGATTTGTACACGTTGAACGCGATTACCTTATCGACGTACAAGGGAAGAAACCTTTCGATAGTCCTTGCACGACAGGACGGCGAAGACCTTTGCCACAATGGCACGACGCTCCCACTCACGATTGGAAAAATCGTTTCTCCATCGATGGCCGCAATCATGCTGAACGATAACTCTGGACGACATTTTAATATTTGAAACAATTAACGAGTAATTATACGAATAATGAAGAAGTTTGTGTCTCTAGTGTCACCAGATTTTCACATTATACGTTATTATACGTTGTTCTCTTGGTGGAATGGTAAATCACTATAATTAAGAAGTCTTATGAAATAGAATTAATTCCTTGCTTTGTATTTCAAGAGATATAATTGGAACAGAGGAATTTCAATTCAGAGGGAATATTAATTTTAGGATAGGTTCTTTTCGTGGGAAATTTTGATTTTAGAATTTGTCGAATGATGATGGTGGAGAGTTCGTTATACGTGAACAAAGAAGTTATATTCTTCTAAATTTTTTCACTTTCTTTCTTCAATTAAAAAGAATAATATAGAATAATATTGAGAATATTTTGTTGCGAGAGATGAAAAATTTCTCTAAATAGATTTCAATTTTGTTGATTAATTCAAATTCATCCATGTAAGATCCTCGAGCGATTTAAAATTTTATTCCAACGCTATATATCATTCTCACTTTTAAAAATAATCCAAAACACGCTTTCACTAAATCCAAACATATCGCGTGAACGTCCACGAAGAGAACACGATCCAAATTTCTCCTCGATTCGAAGCTCAGAACCAACTTCCTGATTTCTATTATGATTTAATGGCGGACGAGAGCGATAAAACGTATTAATATTAATCACGTATCTTGTCAATCTGAACAAGATCGATTCGTGTTAGAACAATTTCGAGCATCGTATCGTTGTCGCGTAGGTTTTTTTTTTCTTTCTTCCTCTTTTCAATTTTTCTTCTCCCTCTTCTTAAGGTTTCGAAGAGAGAAAGAAGAATCAATTAACGACTCGAGAGGAGAGAGACTTTTGTATAGCGGCATCGGTGGCGAGGATGGAAGGACCAAGCTCTCGAGGACGGTAGAAATATACCTTATTCGATGGTGTCGTTCACCTTCCAGATGACCGTAAACGAAGACCGGTCCAAAACGGAGCGGAACACCGGTTCAAAGAGGTTTTCTTTTACAAGATCCTCGATTATTTCTTCCTGGATTCGAAGTGATCTAATGGAAATTGATCGATTGATATTTGTTCAATTTAGTAAGTAAATGTAGTAAAATGATTTAAATTTCACAACAATTTTGTATCGATTAAATTTAATCACTTGATATGACGTTGAATTTTAATACAGATCGTCATCCATATGTATGTAAAGAATAAAAGCTTCCAAACAATCATCAACTTTTAACGATACGAATAACGATACGAATTCAAAGAATCTTTCAAATGAATCTTTCAAACGATTCCCATATGTGAATATACATACATTGAATAACATTTTTGATTTTTGATCTCAAACAGCAATCATCTGTTAAGTTTGTACTATATATCATAAGCGATATCCATGGCATAACCATGACTGATATTTTTGTAAGAGATCAGAATTCTTTGTAAAAGAACTCTAACTACGTCAATTTCCATTTCTAATGCAGGAATTTGTGACATCCCTGATTGTATGCAACCACGTGTGGTTATGCCAACAAAAGAAATGAAATCACTAGACTATCGTTTCAACGAAATCACATGGTATGAACAAAAGAAACTAGACGATCTTCCAACGAAGATAAACAAAAATAACTAGAAACAGATACTACGATTATACGTAATCACAAACAATAAAATCTAACTGGCATTTCCAATGCAAAAATTCATATTACTCTAATTATAGATAACTATACACAATCAGAGATGCCTAGCAAAATAGTTTGAACAGCGTTGTAATTAACGAAATCATGGTTTGATCAAAAGAAACTAGGTCATCTTCCAATAAAGATAAACAAAAATCACTGAAACATCACGAAAGGCGATTAACTTTTTATTCCTACTTTATTAATCGCAATGCAAGAATTATGATACTCCTAACTGTAAGTAACCACAGATGTTAAGAAAATAGATAAAACAGTATCAATTTATAATTTCAACGAAATATATGATTTGATCAAAAAAAAAACTAGACAATTTTTATCTTTATAGACAAACGAGAATAAAGAAAAGACAGAACTTGGAACAGGCGGCGATTAATCCATTACCACTTTATTAACCGCGATCACGTCAATTCTTCGAGCAACAATACATTTAACACGCGTTTTACGTTTAATCGTACGATTGCTCAATCATTCTCGCCGCGTCGAGAGAAAGAGAATTAATTCAACGGGAGATTTATGGACGAACGCGGAAGATAAAGTTACCTTTGATCAGATTATATTTTATTGCGTACTGCGGAGGTGTGGAGAAGGGTTGCAAGCATGGCTATAAAATTAGAATAACGCGTGTAAGGAACAACGCTCGACAATAATGTGAATGTACATTGACCGTCACGTCTGCTGGGAAATACATGTTTCGATTTTAAAACTACTGCGTTGGGATAATGAAGAGAGTGGAAATAGTTTGTAACAGTTAAGTAAATTAGCTTTTAATCGAGTAAATAATATTAAAATATTAGGAAAAGTTTTGTTTATCTATAATATTAGGAGGTTATCGAAAATATCTGCGTTATTTTTATACATAATTCAAAAGTAGACTTGAAAAAGTGGTAAATTGTTAGATAGAAAAGTATTCTAAAAGAAAAAAAGAATTATTCCATACTTCGAATACAAAATTTACAGGTTTTGAAACGTACATCAAAATAATAGATTTATTTCCAATTCCAATAATATAACAATATAAACTTACATATAATAATTCAATAATCTCCGATAATAAAATTGGAAACGTAGATACGAGTGAAATCAGCAACCAGAATTTTTCGAGTGAAAATTCTTCTCGACGAAAAGTGAAAAAGTATCTACGACAAACTTTTACGATCTCACGCGTATCATCGCCGACTTTCTACAACAAAAGTTACTTAACCTAACTTAACAAGCGTAGCTCGCTATTATCCATCGAGTATCCTACTATCATCGAATGAAAAATAAGAAAAAAGTTAAAAGAAGGTGGCGCTCTAAAACATAAACGTAACCTGATCCGCGACTTGAAGTAGGATCGAATCGAATCGAAAGTGACTTTTCTATTTGACGAGAGCACTTGTACATGTGCCAGGACCTCTCTCGTTCGCCTGTTCCGCCAATCTGCCTAATTATACGTTGCATTACACGTTACATGCGTTCGCGTGCACGCCTATAAGGATAAAAGCGACTTTCTCACGAACTTACCTTTCCTGTCGGCTCGAATATCCTTTTCCTACAGTTCGTTATCTCGAAGAAGACGAAAGCTCGTCGATCAAATTAAATTCTCATCGTGAGAAGAATTGATTTCGTTAGAATTGGAATTGGAAAAATATAACGCATGTTTACAGGAGCGTATACATTGCTCATAATAAATTTCTCATTTGTTATTTTATTCGATCAAATTAAACGTCAAGGATCGAGAAAAGAAATGATTTGAAATTTAAATTGGAAAAATATAGTATTTATAAAATGTATAAGAGTATTACTAAATTTTCGGTTTAAATTTGTCAGTTTGAAAATCATTTTTGGATTGCTGAAAATTCGAAAATTATAGATATTTTTTTTTTATAAAAATTTAAAGAATTATTCAAAAGATTTAAAAGATTTTGTTTAATATTATAATATAACCTACTTGTATTTAAATTTTAATAAAAAAAATTCGAAAAAAAGATAAAATAAGATATACAATCGAGAAAAAAATTAAAATTTCATCGAATTCTTTTCCTTATCATATTATATCTGTTTATTTTTATTAGTATCTTGCTATACTAATTTTTAACGAAAATTTTATCTGCATTCGTGCAACGTATCTCGATATTTCGACACAAGTCGATAAATTAAAATATAAAATTAATCATAATTTATGGAAATAGATATAAGTAAGCGATCACAGTACAACGTTATATTCCGTTATGCTCGTAGTGGTAAATCTCGATTGAATCGAAAGAAAAGTGATCCTGTGGAATCTGAACACGTGCAGGTACCATGTGCACGGAGTGCGTTCGATGCGAATAGCGATGCGCCAATTTTTTTTTTATTAAATTGCAAATTACCCTGAAGTCGCATAAATCTTTTCTTTTCGAAAAATTCGAAGAAGCGAACCGTGCCTTGAAGATAACGTGTTTAATTAATCTACGAAAGATTAAGCATAAATCAACGTGAAGTTTTATTCGACATTTTCTAAATGAAGAAAATTCAAAAAAAAATCGTTACATGTATCATTAAATTAATCGTTAATCGTTAAATTATTTAGAAATTCCATAGAAATCTTCTTTCGATTCTTCAAATTTTCATTCTTCGTATCGGTCGTATTTATACGCGTGTAATGCGTTGCATTAGATCAGTTGAGATAAAAGAGAAGTTGAGATATCGCTTGACGGTAACAGTTAACAGAGAAAGAATTTTCTCCAGATGTTATCTCCACGACTTCGCGATGGGGAGTGTGTGTTGATTTGATTGAATGGCCAAGAAACGTTTCTTAATCGCGTCTGTATGTTAGAGACGTGATCTAACCTAAAAGATACATTTTCGGTGATGTGAAAATCGACCAATTCGAAGTTTGTAACTTGTAATTTATGTTTCACGCGATCGAATGGATATATATATAAATTATGCGGTTCTGCCAGGCATATTATTATATCGCATAGATATAATAATATCGTTGTCAATGTACGGTAAATATTAATCCATATTGCATCAGTCGATCAATGTAAACATCGTATAATAAACGCGTCCAAGTATGAAATACCGTTGCATATTATTATTATAAATCCTCATAAATAGAAAGGATATATAAACCGTTTCAAAACAGAGAAAATAGACATTTTTCTCTTCGAAAATTTTTTTAAGTTGAGTTATTGGCAAGAAACAATTATAGAATATATATATTTGTTAGATTTCTAGAGTTATATATTTGAAAGGGAGAAAAAACTTGGTGGAAGAAGGATGACACGGATAATCGATAGGATGGAACGCGTGACAAGTGAAACGAACCTTTACACCCGAAACAATAGATCGTTCTAAAATACGGGCGTGATCTCATAGAACGAGGCATCCATTTTGGCGGATGCTTATTACACTCTCACGGATTTGTGCGGTCGTCGAAGGCGAGGATAATGGACGCGGTGCCCGCAGCGTTCCTTTGACTCGGCAAGAATTTAACTCAAAACGTTACACTCGTCGATGTACACACCTATTTTCTGCATTCTAACGTTCCAGACGATCGTCCTCGTGCATCTGCATACGCTACAGCCACGCGTCACCGCGATCTCAAATCGGCCGCTATTTACCAACCGTATTTAACGTATTTTTTATTTTGATATTTATCGTGACGCGATGCCATTCTAATACACGATATGTT